TCCACGCCTTCCTCCCATACAGAGATAGAGAGAGAGAGAGAGAAATTATTGAGAAAATGCAGTGAGAACAACACCCATAATAATTCAGTTAGGTTACGCTACCCACAAATTATATATATATATATATAATATATATATATATATATATATATATATATTATATTATAATATATATATATATATATATATATATGTATAATATATATATATATATATATATATATATATATATAATATATATATATATGAAAGATGAAACAATGCAATACCGCATTTTTATCATGAATATATAACCTCTCTGTTCGGGATTCGATCCCGCGCCGCCAGATCTGGATAGAGCGGCCGCCTTATGTATATATTATATATATATATATAATATATATATACATATATATATATATATATATATGTATGTATGTATATATATAGTATGTAGTATACATAGATAATTAGATAGATATAGATTTAGATACGTATATATATATATATGTATCTACTTATCTATCTATGTAGATATACATATATATATATATATATATATATATATATATATATATATATATATATATATATATATATATATATGTTTATATATACTTATATTTATAATTATGTGTGTGAGTGTGTGTGCGTGTACATACATATATCTGTGTATCTATATTTATCTATCTGTATGTATATACTTATATGTATCTATATGTATATATATGTATATATGTGCATATATATGCACATATACACGAACACACACGCATATATATATATATATATATATATATATATATATATATATATATATAATATATATATATATATATATATATATATGTACACGCACCACACGCACACACACACACATGGATATGTAAAAAAATAAAAGAAAGAAAGAAAATAAAAAGCCTTCCTCAATTCTTTTAATCCTTCCGTTTTATACATTTGTCATATAACAGCTCTGCCTTCTGTTCAATTATCGGTCCACGTTCTCTAGTTTCTGCCATTTAAACGATGTTCTTGTTTCTTCTTTTATAAAACTGTTTCCCTATAAGAACAAAATCTTGAAAATAGTTACGTCGCTTTTCTTGCCTGCCTTCTGTGGAATTATCAGTTCACATTCTTTAGTTTCTGCCACGGTCTTAAACAAAGTTCTTGTCTCTTCGTTTATAAAACTAAGTCTCCCTCTAAGAACATAATCTTCAAAATAGTTACAAAGTTGCTGTGTTTTTGGATTTTTAAAAATTCGTTTTTTTTTCTTCTTTTTTCTTTGAGTGTTTCGTCAAGGTATACCAAAGCCTTAATTACTTGGTTCGGTTTTTATGTGGCTTCATCTTGTCGGCTGTGGAAGTAGCAATCATTCTAGGTCCTCTCTCTCTCTCTCTCTCTCTCTCTCTCTCTCTCTCTCTCTCTCTCTCTCTCTCTCTCTCTCTCTCTCTCTCTCTCCTCTCTCTCTCTCTCTCTCTCTCTCTCTCTCTCTCTCTGTCTATCCCGCTCTTTCTCTCTCTGT